TCAATTCCGGAACTTTGGTCTGACCAGAGACCGACTATTTTTTTTTTTGGCCTTACTGTAACACAATTGAAAAATCCTTTGCTTTTTTGTTGGCTTAATTTTGTATGTAAACAGATAATAGGTTACTAATGTTCAATTTGAAGTTAATCGAAACCAGTCCTGGAAACTGTCAGTTGAAGATATGTTTTGTTGACATGTACATTACAACATTAAAGGTCAGTGAACCTGGGTGACCTTTGACCTCTGTTGTCTCAATAGTAGTTTATCAGTTAAAATGTCCATTCCATAGAGCTGTAGTAAATTATGAGAGCGTTTACTCCTCATTCCCTTGCACACTTCAAAGTTGTCTGAGCTCAACACAGTGCTTGAAGAATGTGCATGTAGCGAGATCAATGTGCAAGTCACGTCGCCAATATGACATCAATTCTTTTGAGTTTTGTGCGCTTAATGTGTTGCCAAAATATAACAGATATATGGCTGAGCAGGCACGTGATCTACAGTGAAAAAATGAAAAAATCTATGCAGCGCATTAGTGTGAAAGCACAGAATGAAATGAAAGTTGTAATAACAGCTTTGAAATGAATAAACATACAACATTTAAGCTAATTTCTGATGACTTAAGCACAAACATGGATGCATGCGCCCAGCAAGCTTCATCCTATTCATATATGAAAAAGCTCTCTAATAATTTACTATAGCTCTATGGCCTGATTAAGTGCACATGTGCAGATACAAATCTAGAATAACAGGGAGTGCGTAACAATTTATTGCAATAGTTTTTCTTGCAACAATAAAACAAAACACAATGGAGTGTGTTCAGTGGAAAAAGTACAATCAGAATGCAAGTCAATTGAAATTTTGTTTGTTGGTTGGTTGTGATGACGAGGCCCGGATTCTCCAATAGATCTCTCTCATAGGACGCCATCTTTGTAGGAAAATTACAACTGCGTGTTCAACACCATGTGCGCGTAGTTTGCAAAATGTTCCAAACTTGCGCTCCTGTTGCTTGGAATGTCTCCAAAATACGGCGCAGCCGATGCGCGTCACGAAAATTTGAAAATTTGACGTCTTAAACAGCCCAAATTTGAAGAGGAATTGTCAAATTTAATATTGTAGAGTGTGTAAATTCAGCAGGAAAACAAGTACAATACGAATTAAATCAACCATTAAGGCAAAGTAAAAAAAAAATGTTTCTTGTCCCCGCCTGCTTCCTTTTTTGGAGGCCGCCTGGATTTTTTTTTATTATTTTTTATTTTTGAAAAATGCAAGTCCACAATTCATCGGAAAATAGACCAATACAAGTCTAAATGACACTGTAAATATGTTCAGTTCTCTTGTCTTACTTATCTTTCATTTTAAAAGTGTCTTTGATCAGTGGAAACACGAACAGTCGCAGGAAATTTTAATATGGCGGCCATCTTGAAACAAAGAAAAAATAAAAATCCCCGCTTCCTCCTTTTTTCAAAAACCCGGACGAGAAACATGTTTTTTTTTTACTCTACCTAATGAAACAGAACATACTCGTTGTCTGGAGGATATCATGAGAAATACCCATTGTATTAAAGTGAAATTTCCTCCGTTATAAACTCATCATGACGTTTTTGTGAAGCCTGAAAATTTTTAACAGGAATATCAAACAATACAGTTAATGTTACTAAAACAATTATAATCAGTTTCTAGCGAGAAAATTGCAATGCAAAATAATGAAGGAAAAAAAGTCCCCACAAAAACCCACACACTGGTTTTTGAGACGATGTCTATTTAATTTCTACAGCAAATTAATTAAATTAATATAACAAAAACAACAAAGTGTTTTCTGTGTGAAAATTTAAATCGGAATGAAAAATATTCCTAATACGCAACAAGAACAACACATTTGTGTGGACGACAATTCTGGAAATATATGCTGAGCTTAATTTAAAATGTGTCCATCGATTGTTCACAAAGTAAAGTCTTCAATTAAGAACTCCATAAAATTCCAAGAGAAATCGTGTAACAATTAAAAAACGATTAAACATTTAGAAAAGTACTAATGTAAAATATAATCAAAGCCGTAGAAACTTTGCATTATACTGTTGCACTGAGAAACAAATCTACAATTTGCAAACATTTAGGCATACCTCTAAAAATTAAGTGTAAAAATTATTCCTTTTTAAAAATCCTGAAATTTTCACCGGCACCAGACTATCATGTGACCTCTCAACACCTTCACAAGAGAGGGCGATAAGGCATACAAAATCATCGAAGCATGAAAACTGAATTTGACGGCGCGCTACACGGTCAAGTGAGGAAGGCCCTTCAACCAGGTTGTATCGAGACCCTCAGGCTAAGAAGTCTACATCCACCTCACACACCACTGGTAACCAGCATTCGAGCAGTCTTATGTGGTCTCTAGCAGGTTTCAACAAGTGTAGCAATCTCCAAAAAAGGAAAAGGCTAACTACCAGTCTGACTGATGATTGGCTGCGAAGACAGACCTGAACTTACAGGACAGGGCAGGACTTCAAAAAAGAAGTCTGAATATTCAGTCCAAAATTTAGTCCAATTAATATGAGAAAATTATATTCCCAAATCTAAGTCAAGCCAAATAAACTTTAAATCCAAAAATCCCCAAGACCAATTCCTAGTCCTATCAACTTGCAGACCTATCAGTCAGGAAGCCCTTCAACTAATAGTCCAGTTCCCTCTCAACCATCAACCAGTCAGCTCAAAGTCCCAAAGCCTACCCTCCAGCTCCAAACCCCTTCAGCTCCCAACTTCTCAACATCCCAGTCTCAGACCCTCAGATCTGAAAAAATTTCAAGGGGTACCCCTTGATTTCTGAAATTCTGGCCAAAGCTGAAAAATTGTCTAAGTCCAACAACCTAAGGGTTTTAATTACGATAACCGGAGATTTTTTCAAGAAAGTGCCATGGCAGAGCGGAAAAGAAGAGAGCTGGCATGCAGAAGGTACGCGGTTCAACCCTGCTCCATGCTACTATTTTATATATTTTTAAAATTTTATCACTGCTGTGAGGAAAAATTCTCCTCCCGGGTCCCCGGCTGGGTTTTGAACCGGGGACCCAGCGCCTGGCGGTCAGCGAGCTAGACCACCAGGCCACTGGCCTCTTCGAAAATTTGTTCTCGGAACTTATATTTAAAGGTAAGATTGCGCAATATTAAAAAAAAGGAAAAAAAATGGCCGCCTGGGCTCATTTGAATAATTGAATAATAAAAAGCAGAAAACTGAATATTCAGAAGGAAACCACAACAGACCCAAAATTCTGGTTCTCAATTTAGACATTTATTCCATATTCTTTCTATTGTTGCCCTTTATTTACACTGTTTACAAACCTATTTCACACTTTTTTTTAAAGTTAATATTACAGATTTTAAACTTCACATACATGTATTTAACAAGAAACACAATTCTGTTTAATGAATGTAGACGTTAATTTACTTCCCTTTACAAGATTCTAAATTTGTCAATGCTCAATATTTTAAAAGCAAGTCCTACGTTAAATTTGTTCACTAATTTTATTCTTCGGGAGAGGGGGGGGGGGGGGGCGCACAAAGTTGTTTTTAACTATAACAGGCCAAACTTTTGTTTGAATGTGGAAATGGAGTTTTTAAATTTGGTAATCTCGATTTTACTTAAAATTGTCAGTGATTTTTGCCTCAAATCTTATACAACTATTTTTTTCAAATTCTGAAATATTTTAACCACTTCAAAAGTAAAACAATACCAGTTCCAATACAGTAACGCCTTATTTCAGGAATAATTGCTTGTACAACTAAATTTAAATAAGTTAAACATTGATTTACAAACATGTTACAGATAATATATGCATACTGCCCTCTATAGACCAAATATTTTAACTGTGTCTATCTGGCTAGATTTTGATGCCAATTCATTTTAGAATGCTCAAATTATTTCAAAAACACTTTCCATTTCCCTTTTCTTTCCATAAATTTAAGGACATCTCAAAAAGCAAATATTTAAGGATCTTGTTTCCTTAAAACATTAATTTTTCCTCTAAGAACTTTTAGAAATTTAGTTTCAAAATGTCACTTTACAAAAAAAACCAGTTTCATTTGTATATTGCGAAGAAGTTACTATTGTTAACTTTGTATGATAACATCTTTTACATGACACAAATTTGGCTTATTTCATTCATGTCAACCATATCTTACACCTTGTAACAAAGCACTCCTATGCATCATGTTTAAACCAATTGTTAGTGTGGATCATACACTTTGAGTTTTAAATGATCACATTGGTAAAATTGTATTTATATTCCTTTTATTTATAGAAATAGTTTGATTGTAAAGCACCAGGGAGCATTTTTTAAATGGATTCGGCGCTATGAAATTCCATTATTATTTCATTATTATTATACATTAATTCATTCATTAAACAGTCATTAGCAATTCATGGGCAATAGAGGGCGCTCCTCATTGAGACTAATTTTTATTTACCACAACTAGGGTGCACAACTATGTACAACATTTCTTAATTTTCTCTCATTGATATACAAACAAAAATCTCAATTTTAAATTTAAACAAATGATAACTACACAAATGAACAAAAATACAATAATGCCAAGCAACTAATTGGGCAAAACCAGAAAATCTACAGCTTTAGCAAGTATATGGGCAATTCCATGGTGACAGACATTTCAGAGTTTCGGCAGGTTTCAAATTCGCATCAGTATCACGATTCAGAACAATTTTACGCGTAACGCCATCACTTCAATTCTTTTCGAACGCTAAGCGATAAAGTGGCATAGGGTTTTAATTCAAATTTTTCTCTTAAAGAAAAATGATAACCACCTCTCATTCTTAATTTTATGATGTACATAACGTCTGATTGCAATAAGAAGTAAAAGAGTGATTTTTTCAAGGAGTATGGTGAATTTTGAGCATTTATGTGACAAGAAATTATAATGCGATTTTCTCAATAGGTTTACGCAGAGACGCCATGCCAAAACTGAAATTTGAACACGCCATTATGTTTGCGTACACTAATCAGCCGCATCATATAATTCCAATACGCATCATTTTTGGGGGGATGAAGTGTTTTTACATTTTTCAACCTGTAGACGCATTGATCTTTTCTGTCCTTCGCTTACAGAACTCTTTCTTTATTGTGACCGACATTACATAAAAGCAACACAGGAAACAAATGACAGATCAAATTGGGAATTTCTCTTCATGTTAAAGGCCAATGGATGTCATATTTTATTTCTCATATAATTTATAGCCAGTATAACACTTTATACATGTACAAAGATGTAAAATGAAAGTTTTTATAGTCATAATAATTGAGAAATGAGACACTGTGAATTGAAAAGTTTCTGTTAAGGTCAAGTTTTATTTTCTTTATAATTTCCAACAGTGACTGTATTCGAGACCAAAAATAATTTTTCAATATCCAAACTCAAAGAATTTTAGAATTTATCAAAAACAAAAACATAATAAAAAACCTACATGTATATACCATCAACACCAAAAAGTAACTGATCATAAAGCTAATTAAGTAAGAAATTTTGCAAAGCGACCATAATAATAGTACAGTTGTCTCCAATAAAAACTGTGTAAATAGACTTGCATCATATTTTCTGTGTTATTACAAATTTTGAGGTCTCAACATGTTCAACAAATTCCATGCTCAATTCTAACTACTTTTCTCCTAGTTTTATTCCTGCCCACTTATGAAACTCCTCATGTTCTGTTCTTTTCTGTCTATTCCTCTTTCATTTGTTCCTCTTGTGGTCTTCATACAATCCTTTTCCTCCAAGTTTTGTTTCTGCTGTGTCTTTCTCTCTCCAAGTTGCAACTTGGCTGTACATCTTTCCTGAAAATATAAAATATTCAACAGAATTAATCATAATTTGTACATGTTTACATTAACACAATTTTACTTGCTATTTTTCTAGCAATACCAAAGTTATCCAATGTACCAACAACAAAACAAATGAAATAAGTTAGCCAATGTTTAGTAATAAATAGGGAATTATGAATATCAAACTATTTGGTGCCAAACAATAATTCAGTTCTCACAGGGAAGACTTCCCCCACCCCACCCCATCAGAATGGACAATGATAGACTACTTGTGCCCAAAAGCAAAACAAATATATTTTTCGTTTTATCAAAGGGTTACAGATGTCCAAATTAAATTTTAAAAAGACTCATTTTGTGAATAATATGTAAGTTGCTCAGACAGTGGCTTGGCACTCAGTTGCATTTTGGTTCAAAGAGTTGACTACTTGTATGTGTATGGACTTAAATAACATGTGTACTTGCATTTTCCTCAACTATGGACTGTGCAATAATGTGACTGGCACTACGTTACGCTAAGAGATTGTGACTGCATGACATTACATGTGGCTGACATTACAATATTTCATGGCTGGTCTAAGCATAAAACAAAAATGTAAACAAAATTCTAGTTTTAAATATACTTCTCAAAACTCAAGCTAAGAAACTTTTAACAGAATAATTCATTGGTAAAAAATGTAGGTATTTACAAAAAAAAACAAATCCATTTTGGTGACTTATAAATAATTAGATTTGTACATCATTTTACAAGCAAAATCTGACTAAAATTAAAAACTACAAATAATATCCAAACACCCTTAAAATGGTAACACAGCAAATTGAGAAAAATATTACTGAATAGATAGCAAAAGACAACTTCAAAATTACTTACCAGTGCATCCATAAGTCATCATGACGTCATTGCAGACTTTGATGTGATGGTGTACCGTAACTCACAAAAAGTGCGCGCATGGGACGAAACTATTTCAGTTTTAAAAACGCCAAGCTATATTATGTCACTTCAGCAAATCAAACGAGAACAAATCGTAAAATAATTGTTTGGTCTTGTGTCTCCACCAGCATGGAATTGCCCATATAACCTTTTTTACTCATTGAACAGCCTAGTACATTCTAAATAGGCCCAAGGCACCTTGGATGTAGTTTCTCTGATGTTTGATGTCATCACAAAGTGGTGCAGTTTCAGGGCATTCCGGCATCAAGAGCAACGTCTTCTCAGTAATAGCAGGAAAACCTAAAATAAGTTGAATAAAAAAAATTAAAAAGGAAAATTGAATATAAATAGCATACTTGTATACATGCAGTTTATGATTACTTTTTTGCAGGCTTTTGTAGCTTTTGAGGCTCCACTGATTTGGGAGAACAACTATATGTAGGGAGGAGTTTTGAAGATAGAATTTAGAATTTTAGCTTCCTTTGCGTTCACATCTACAGCAAACTTTTAGTATGAATTATCATCAACCCATAATTCACATAAACATTGTTGCAAAAGCAAGTACTCAAGTATATTGAACAAGTTCTTAGCTCACCTGAAACACATGCGTTCCTCTTCTTGTGGTTCTGATAACAGACGTCTGATGACTTACTCAGGTTACTCAGGTCCTGTCTTATCAATGACTGTGCAACAAATGAAATATAGATTAGTTATGACAGAGTAAATTACTTGTGAGGCTGTAGACATTGGTTATTATTATCCGAAACAAATAACTGACTTTTAGAGGCAAGCAAAACGATACACATTTCATACACGTGAGCACACAGAATGGAAAGTTACAGAACAATTTGAGTGTTCATCACAGAGCTTGAGTTGGCATTGTAATCGTTGGACCATGCTCTGAATGACAGGTAGTGGTGTGTACGTGTTTGCAGCCAAGTAAGTGAGGGTGCCAAAGAGGGCTGATTCAAATTACCAGCTGCGGTCGGTTGTCAACAAGAGAAATTTACCAGAGTAAAACTCTCGGGCGCGGCCCGCTGAACCGTGGTAATGCTCTTGGAGAGTATCTCCTTCCCCTTGTCCGTACGTGTGACTACTGAGCCATAACAGCAGCCACTGAAAGAGATACGCAACAGGCCAACCACCATAATAGCCTGGGACCAGAGGGTACAGATCTGCCCGCTCAAGCTGAAGTTGGCCAGGTCCCCCTCCGTAGACTAGCTCATGAACTGAATGGTTCGGCAGATGACAGAAATCAGCTGCATGGTGGAGACACTGCAACCGGTATTGCCAGGTGAAGAGGAAATTTGTACAGCTTGCATGACTGTTTGACTGCAGCATCCTGGATGGGATCCGTCAGACCCAGACCGCCCACCATTCTGTCTGCAAAGATGTCATTGGTGGCAGTCCTCGTCGGAAGGATGCAAACTTTCCGCACCAACCTCACCACCTCATCCCTTAGCCACTTTAGACTTTTCTTCTGGCAATTTCTGGCAAGCAACACATACAAGGTGCACTATTCAATGGCAGTGTGTAGTGCATCCAGCGTTTGCCAGAAAGCCAGGAGAGAGGATTCCACCTTGCCCAGATCTTCTGTCATCTTGGCCACCACTGCCTCAAGGTTCTCGTTACTTCTGCGACCCGATACGGACGCGACAGTAACGATATAATTCCTCAGTCAGTGCTGGAATATCGCTGCCTTGCACTTTGTAGACTGAGGGAAGCACTCACCGACCTCTGCGACACTCCAGGGACAGAGTGACACACTTCATTGGTCTGAAGGTAAGCCGCAGCTTGCTGGCCATGTCCAAAAGCAACCTGGCCTGCTCCCTCACCTAGCTGTGATGGAATTCCAGCGCCGCACATCAGTCACATGGATTTGGTTGCTCCCCCAGCACATACATGTACAGACCCTCATCTGTGTTATGAAAAACCAAAGGGCCCCAAATGAAGTGTTGGAGCACCAGGGCAACTCTCTCATCAACGCTAGAAGAACCCCGGAGGGGACTCCAGCATTCATCCGTGGAGTGTTGGGAAATGGCCAGATCTCACTTGATCCCAGTCCCGGCTGGGAAGTCCCTGATTCGTGCTCCTGGGAGACAGAGTGTTAGGCTGATGTCAGTACAGTCGTAATTAATTGACCAACCAAGCCATGGGCTGGGAGCGTTGTATCCACAGGCTTGGAAGGTGTGTCATGAGGCCGCAGGAGAGCCTGGACAATCGGTGAAACGGACCCACTGCACTTGTGAGTTTGGTAGTGGTTGGAAACAGCTAGCCTGTCTGAGTCAAACTCCCACTGATAAACGTACAAGGTGAAAAGAAACTAGAGAATGTACTGCTGGTGTTGTGTCAGCGTCTGCTGCAAGTGGTAGCTCTCCCGACACATGACACAATTTCAGTGACAGGATAGGAAAAGATTGGTCTCATTGTCTGAAGATCTTGGAGGCTGTGGATTTGAAATGGACCCGCGCCTGTAACGATGGAGTCCAAAAGCCGTAGGAATGATCTTGAGTACCAGTACAGGCGTTGGCCTGGCCCTTGTCCATGTTATGGTCGCCCTAGGGTTCCTGAGCATTCCTCCACGGAGTGTTGGGCTTTTTCCCGGTCACTTCCCCAAACCCTCTTCTGTGATACGGCTACCCTGAGGGCTTCCCAAGCATGCATCCACAGAGTGTTAGGATAGAGCCAGAATCCTCCCCTTATCCGCCTTACTGTTGCCCAAAGGGGCGTCTGAGTGTTCTTTCGCGGAGTGTTGGAGATTAGCCGTGTAGTGATTCTTCTCCAGCAGCTTGTCTCCAAGGTTTTCTTCATCATCCAGCTCCTATACCTACCATTTCAGGGAGCAGGGTCGATTGCTTGAATGACTGCAAGAATGATGACGTCCTGCGGACAATGTTTGTATTTGCAGTGACAGCTGGTTTGTTTCTGTGTGAAGTAGTTGCACTTCTGTCAGTGATGCAGGGGTGCATGTAGATGCGACTGAGTTGACCCTGACTGACTGCTGTGGAGCAGCAACATCCATTATTCTGTCTGCAAGTTCAGCCCACTGTTTGATTTTGACGCTATCACAAGTAGGACATTTTGACTGAAGAAACAACTTGCATGCAATCTACTTCAAGCGATCTCCAGTAACTGGGTTGGTTGCATGCCACTGAGTATACACTTGCTGAAACCGTTTTTAGTTTTATTATCCGGAACAAATACCTGATTTTATGAAGCAAGTGAAATGGTAAACAAACAAGATAATTACACACATGCACAGAATGGAAAGTTACATAATGAGTGAACTTGTTCACCGAGCCGTCTGAAGAAGGTGCACTTACAATAACTTGGTTACTACAATGTTCAAGCAAGGATCTGATCCATTAATGGTGCCTAAAACCTCTACTGATCCATTTCAAGTAAATAGTTGATGTAACAACCACTTTGAATAAAGTTTATGCAATTGATCACTGATGCAGGCAGGGATGTGAAGTCAACCATTAATTTTATCCTTTAAATTTATTAGTTCTTGAGTTCTGAAAAAAACATTAAAACTATATTCTAAGCAGACCAAAGGTATCAAAATTTTGTCAAAGACACCACAAACTGACACTCGGTTTTCACGAACTGAAACCGGTCTTAAAGTCACCAGTTTAAAGGATTCTAATTCATTTTTTGTGTAAGCCCACAAGTAAATGGATGACGTAAATTTGTGTTGAAGCCTTCAAAGCGTTTTTATATTGTATTTCCATCACATGCTTGTGTTTCATTGGGTAAAAAACTACATTATTCTATTACGAGTCAGTGTACTATTAAAGTGCGCGTACACACCCCCATGTCAGTTCTTGAAACTGAAATTATTGATAACACGGTTTTCACGAACTGACTCCACATGCGTACATGTCAGTTTGTGAAAACAGTGACGATTTACCTGATGTGTGATGTCACAAAGTAGTGCCGTGTCAGTGCATTTCAGCATCAAAAGCAGCTCATCTTTGAGGTCCAGGTATTGTGAAAACCTTGAATTGGAAATAAAAAGCAACATTAAAATTAATTATATATGTAAGTAAATGTATAGGGACCGTACACGAACCGGCACGCAATCGCTCTTCGGGAGGTATATAACAGGTGTTTCCACATGTTATTGATCGTCAATAATTCTAAGACATGTGGGTCATTTATTCCTGATATAATGCAATCCTAAGCTGGCTGTTTTATCGAATCCTGCTTCATTGATCCACACTGGATCTGTCCCACACCTGTTAACCCCTTGATGCTGGTATTGTCAGCCACGGATCAGCGGCACTTTGAGTTTGAATGTGTACATGCAGGCATTTGGATATTGCCCATCAATGAATGCAGCAGGAATGCGGCCACAGCGTTCCCTGGCTCATCACCCTTCATTGAGCTGCAGTCACCGCCGTCAGCCAGCGTTAAGGGGTTAAATGATCACCTGTCTTTAGGTTTAGGCATTCTCCTGATGACAGTCACAGATCACTGACTAAATCTTCAAATCTTCAGAACCACTTCTCTTTTTAGAGACTGTCACTTCACATGCTGTTCATATAGAACTTTTCCCTAGTGATTTCTATCGTATTCAACATCACCTACCTAGGCAGAGTCAGCATCCAGGATCTCTAGTAGCTACCATTAAACATCAACGTTGTTAACTTGAACTTTGCTCCTCCACCCCTAGCTACCGACTTCCTCAACGGGATGTGCTCTAGCGCCCATCGCATGGCAGATGGCAGAGAGGTTGGAGCAAAACTACTTCACTGAAACATCCGTCTGTGGTGGCAAGAAATTGGAGATGCAGTGGATAGGAAGACCAGGAGACTACTGGTGAAAGATGCTGGTCATCACCTGGCTGTCAGCAACCTCCTTTTCTTTGTCTGTGGCATCCATAGGGATCCCTATGGATGCCACAGACAAAGAAAAGGAGACAATTACCATCAACGCATGTCATTTGTAACCAGCATGCTTTATATGCAATTGTTGACCAGCTAGGAAGGCAGCTGCAGCTTGCGTGTGTCACACTTGATCGGCAAGTTTCTAATATTCAAACATTCAGTTAAGTGCAGTTTTGAAATGATCAAATACTAAATTATTTGAAAATGGACAGCCCTACAAGCCCCACTTTAGTTGTAGCCAGCAGACCAGCAGTTTATAGTTCACAGTATTTCATTATAAGTTGCTCCTAACTGGAGTTGTTTCCTGCTTGGGTTTGTCTGCTTGTGGAGTCATTGGTTTGTAGATCATTGCTGTGCTTTTACAGTCATTTTCCAACAATGCTGTGCGGCTTTTTACTTTTTTCCTGCTGTCCATTTTTTATACCTTAGTTTTTCTCTTATTCTCCTAAAATGTTATCCAATTGTTGATTATTTTTATCCTTGGCAAAGTTTTATTTTTCTCCTTGGCAAATTCCTTTTGAGCTTTTTATTCATTGTTTGATCCAGATTGAGATTTCTTTCAGTTAAAAAGACTGTTTTTTTTTTATTTAAGGATACAAATTGTTTTTGTATGTGTGAAAGATCCCCTTTTTATCAGACTAAATTAAAAATTTGAGAAGTCTATTTGGTTTCCTTGATTCCTTTTCTTCTTTGTCCCAGTTTCTAAAAGTATATCGTGACATAATAAATTCAACCAGGATTTGTTCTTAGGTAGCCATTTTTTGCCGTTACACAAGTATCAAACATCTTGGAGAAAATATCACAATTTTATGCATTTGCATATAGTTAAAAAAATTACAATATTTACAAAATACCAAATATTTAACCAGTCATAACCTAGAACAACATTCCATTTCAAACCTGAAAACCTAGCTTTCCCACCACCGCTTTCCCACCACCACTACTTCAGAAAGTTCCGATGAAGGTTGATTGGTCAGTCAGTTGTAAATCCACTTGTGAGAAACGCTCTCCTCTGCAAGGCTATCGTGCTGTCTGTGTGGTCCACCTGCAGAGGAAGATGTGAGATAGAAACAAAAAGGCATATCAGAGTCAAGTCAACTTGAATTGGATTGAGAACAGTGGGGTCTTAGAATAGTGTTTATCAGACAGGGCTCATAGTGGATCATCAGACAATTTCAGAATTTGAGAACATCTCAACTACAAAGAAGATTTTTGTATTTTGTAGTTACTATCAAGAGGACATGCAGACTTGAATTGATCTCAAGAGATTATGGAGACTATAATCGGATGACCACATTTGAAAGCAATTTCTGAGATGGAACCAGTGCACACTTTCAGGGCATGTTCACAATCAGCGAATCATTCGTAGTTTGAAAAAAAAAACCATTTACAACTTGCAAACCTGTCCTTCAAATGCACATGCGTAAATCTTTGTGTCAACAGCAGAGAGTCTACTCTCTACCTTGGAAGTCAACTACAATTGCTCCTTGATTTCAAAGCACAAGTGCAAAATCAGAGACCTTATTAAAATGGTAGTTCTTGCTAACAATGACTGCGGCAGATCTTGTCTCCTGCGTGTTTCTAAGAGCCCATACTGACTATCAGGAAAGGAAGGAAAGAAAAACAAGAAATTCATGTTTGATATCTGAAGGAAATAAATGATCAGGGCTAAGAATGACCAGAAAGCATAATTCTTGACAAACAGGGGAATTTTAAATAAATTTGCAAAAATGCACTGCAAAACCAATTTTGGAACCATTACATGTTGAGAATCAATTCCTTCCAAAGTTAGAATGCATGTGAAAAGTACAAAATCTGACTTGAGAATGTATTTTGCTCTGACAAGGACCTCTGAATGGGCAAATGTCCGATCATAATTTCAGCCTTTTCTTAGGTTTATCCGTTCCCTTTGCTGTCTTGAATTGATCATCTTCAGTCAGATGTTTTGCTCACCTTTGATTAGAATGATTCATTGTCACCACAACAAATTCCTCTACAGCCTCTCATCTCCAGTGGGGAGGGGGGGGGTTAAACTGCAATAACAAAATAACTTGCAAAACAACATTATCCAGTGGCAAATCGTGGAATTTCTTCTTTAAATTAATCAATTAAACTGAAAAGCGTTCAGTTTTGAAACTGTTTAATTTACTGATGCATTTTGAAACAAACTGACCCGACAAAATATATTTTAAACCGTCTCATGCAGAGCATCAAAAGCCATTAATTTAGAATGCACTTCAAAGTACAGAATTCAATTTGTTCACAGACAAATGTCCAATCGTAATTTCAGCCCGTTTGGTTATGTTTCTCCATTCCTTTTGCTGTCTATAATGGATCAGTTGCAATCAGATGCTCACCTTGGATTGGACGATCGGATTCCCCTGAAGTCGTTGGTTCATCGCTACTTTCCCACTTCTCTCCAGTAAGCTTCTCATCTATACCTTGTACCTTGCAGTGTTATCAAAAACAAAACAATCATTCAAGTGGTCAAGTTTTCAAAGTACATTTTGCACAGAAATCTTGTCCACAAATTTTGTATTTCCAATTATAAACACAAAAGCAATTTTATTTGTGTTGTTTTACTTATTTGTTCTCTTTATTCAGCGTGCCCAGAATTTTTAAGCTATAGATTCAGAATGCCGAGTTAAAACTGGAGTGAAATTTTGAGAGGTGGAATCAATTTCACTTTCAAAAAAAAGGCCTTTGTTGACCCACTCTGAAGATTGTTTTCCATTGTAAGAAAAGGTTTTAAAATCTTTCTCCAACAGAATGCTTTGGTTTACTTGATGGAAAACATAATAATCCCAGAAACAAATGGAATGTTTTTTGGGGTCTAAAATTGAAGTCCATTTTGACTGATCGGCAATAATTATGATGTTTGTTGAGAATTCATTTTTCAAAAGTTGCTAATTGAATTTCACATTTCTTCAAAAAGTCATTCCTTCTTAAAATCTTACCTTGTTTTTAGATGTAACCCTTCTGGAAGCACATCCTGGTAAGATTAGTTTAAACAGGGCCACCACGTGAAGGTCCCAGGATACCAGCCCCAAACACGCTTTCAGTATCGTCAGGTCCATTGCTGGGCAAAAGGCCGGCCCCGGAGGGCCATGCACAGTTGCCGACTGTCCGGTACGCCCCCCCAACCCCGAAGGATCAGGAGAGTACCCTAACCTATATGCGTGCCCCCCTAAGTCCATCCCCCATTACGGGTTCATGCGGTCTGATAGGAAGTAGCAGCGTTTGCCGGCTGTGAATACAGGGCCACACCCCTATAAAGAGGGACGCACTACCTGCTCCTTTATGGCACGGCATCCTAGGGTTTCCAGGCCGCTGCGTAGGACCCACGCCCCACGTGGATGCCGGAGCATTCACGCGGACGCAACCCGTCCCTTGAAACTGGGTTTGCCTCGCACCAATCGGAGCACCAGTTCAACCCCGATTAACTGGGTTTACCCCGCACCTCAATCGAAGAACCAGTCCAACTCCGATTAACTGGGTTTACCCCGCACCTCAATCGGAGAACCAGTCCAACTCCGATTAACTGGGTTTACCCCGCACCTCAACCGAAGCACCTGTGGAGAAACCACCACCTATACCCCACACAAACCACCACCTACACCCCACACAAACCACCACCTACACCCCACACAATAACAAGCACACACCCACCACCAACCAGTACATCACAAACACATATGTCAACCACCCTGGACATTCTTATTGTTTAAGTAAAACATTAACTAAAATGTTGTCTGTTTAAAAAAAAAAAAAGTAATTGTTAAAAATTTAGGCTGATAAATGCATTGCAGAATGTTTTCTCCCAATTTTCCTTTATTTCTACAAAATCCCGACAAACAAATTTAATTTTGTGCTTATTTCCAAAACATCGTTTAAACTGAAATTATTCCAGGATGGTTCATGTAACATATACATGTACAAGCAAATTTGAGGGTTTTTATTGAGAAATTTGATTACAAAATTGCTAAAAACTGCCGCGCTAATTGGTTCACATATTAAAAACATAATAATGTACTGCAGTTGCTTCAACTTTATAGAATCAGGATAGATTCAAATTTGCTTGCACATGAAAAAGTACAAGAATTGTGGTTTGACTTACTCTGAACAAAACGAACGACTCCACTTGCAAACTGTCACAATCCGGGGGGAACAAGTGCATGTGGCCTTGAGCTGCAAAGAAAATGGTTACCTCACCTCAGTTAACATGCAACCTTGTCCCCCGTGCGCCGATGATTCCGAACAATCCAACGAATGACTCCACTTGCAAACGGTCACAATCCAAGAGGGAGGGGGGGGGGACAAGTGCATGTGGCCCTGCAAAGCAAATGGTTACCTCACCTCAGTTTACATGCAACCTTGTCCCCCTGTGCCGATGATTCCGAACAATCTATCGAATGACTCCACTTGCAAACTGTACACTTTCACAATCCGGGGGTCTCTTGTGCATGTTCACGTCTGAAGAAAATCAATGCAAATAAATTAATGTTCATTTAATTTGAAGTATTTTCCTTGTACTGCCTTTGGTCAAATAATAAAAAGCTGAAATTTATAAAATACCAGATTCATTATATCTGCCTTGTTACACTCTAAATACAGATTGGTTAACATAACCAATCATTGGTTGAATTAACCAACAGTTGTTTAATATGTGTTGAACTAATCGGGTTGGTTGGATACATTTTAACCAACATTGGTTATTTAACCAATCTGTTTTTAGAATGACCTATAGTGTCATGCCCCATAACATGTGTTAATTTGTGAAACAAACCCAAACCTAGTTAAATGATGCATTGCTATAACATCAGCAAAATCCTTTTTAAGTATCTGACAATCAGAGTTGCTGACTCGAGTCATGTGACTTGGACTCGAGTCGGACTCGAGTCGCTATTTTTGTGACTTGTGACTTGACTTGTAAATACAAGCTTTGACTTGTGACTTGACTTTGACTTGCAAACAATGACTTGTGACTTGACTTGGGATTGCAAAAAATGACTTGTTACCAACCCAAGTCAGACGCTACTCGAGCGACCCAATACACTTTAATTAAGCTATTATACTTTTAATTAGCTTTTTCATTCCAGAAAATAGACCTCGGTGACTGAATCCAGTAAAATGAATAGTTCCCACTAGTTTAAAAAGTGTTCAATAAGACTGTCACAACAAACTACAGTTTTCAATGACCAATTGTCTCTTGCTTAATGTATTGGTTGAACAAACTTGGAAAGGAACCTTTCATGAAAAGAAAGCAGGCCTTTGTCAATTGCATGTAAAATACCAGATAGCCTAACCCATTGGTAGGCGTTTAGTATACATGAAAATTGAACAATAAAGTGTTAGTATACAACATGTAATGGAGTGAGGAAGTCTTTTTTTCACGGTCATCTCAACATTTATTTCTACAATGTAAAATAAATTTATTAAAGTAAACAAAGGGCTAATATCCGACAGATATGTGATAAACTACAAGAATAGTAATTGCAACACATTGAAAAAGGGAGATTAAGGAGGCATGTTCAAAATAACTCGTAAGTTCACGCCAGGTTAATTCTTTTAGCTTATTACAGCTGGACAAAATAATGTGCAACTTGACGTGTTCTTGGACAAAGATACTTGTAACTTGACTTGTTTTTAGACCAAAAGACTTGTGACTTGACTTGTGACTGGACCTAATGACTTGTGACTTGACTTGGACTTGCAAACAATGACTTGAGACTTGACTTGGACTTGCAAAAAAATGACTTGCTGCCACCTCTGCTGACAATTAACAATGATTTTTTTTTTGGGGGGGGGGGTTACCTCCGAGGTTTCCGAGTGATACAGGCAACCACAGGTAGCGAGGATGGCGAATTCCACTTCTCCCAACATCAGAAATTCACCAGAAAGTCACCAGAATCATTCCACTTCTCCCAACATCAGAAAGTCACCAGAATTCCACGTCTCCCACATCAGAATAGGCAGTGTTCCTCAAAGTTCCAGATGGTCCTTCCAAACAAGCATCGTCCTTCCAAACAAGCATCGTCCTTCCAAACAAGCATCGTCCTTCCAATTAAGCATCGTCCTTCCAAACAAGCATCGTCCTTCCAAACAAGCATCGTCCTTCCAAACACGCATCATCCTTCCAAACAAGCATCGTCCTTCCAAACACGCATCGTCCTTCCAAACAAGCATCGTCCTTCCAAACATGCATCGTCCTTCCAAACACGCATCGTCCTTCCAAACAAGCATCGTCCTTCCAAACACACATCGTCCTTCCAAACAAGCATCGTCCTTCCAAACACGCATCGTCCTTCCAAACAAGCATCGTCCTTCCAAACAAGCATCGTCCTTCCAAACATGCATCGTCCTTCCAAACAAGCATCGTTCTCCAAACACGCATCGTCCATCCAAACAAGCATCGTCCTTCCAAACAAGCATCGTCCTTCCAAACAAGCATTGTCCTTCCAAACAAGCATCGTCCTTCCAAACAAGCATCGTCCTTCCAAACAAGCATCGTCCTTCCAAACACGCATCGTCCTTACAAACACGCATCGTCCTTCCAAACAAGCATCGTCCTTCCAAACACGCATCGTCCTTACAAACAAGCATCGTCCTTCCAAACAAGCATCGTCCTTCCAAACACGCATCGTCCTTACAAACACGCATCGTCCTTCCAAACACGCATCGTCCTTCCAAACACGCATCGTCCTTCCAAACAAGCATCGTCCTTCCAAACAAGCATCGTCCTTCCAAACACGCATCGTCCTTACAAACAAGCATCGTCCTTCCAAACAAGCATCGTTCTCCAAACAAGCATCGTCCTTCCAAACAAGCATCGTCCTTCCAAACACGCATCGTCCTTACAAACAAGCATCGTCCTTCCAAACAAGCATCGTCCTTCCAAACAAGCATCGTCCTTCCAAACACGCATCGTCCTTCCAAACAAGCATCGTCCTTCCAAACAAGCATCGTCCTTCCAAACAAGCATCGTCCTTCCAAACACGCATCGTCCTTCCAAACAAGCATCGTCCTTCCAAAACACGCATCGTCCTTCCAAACACGCATCCTCCTTCCAAACAAGCATCGTCCTTCCAAACAAGTATCCAAACAAACTTGCAATATTGCATGGAGTTCAAGGTAGGCATGTTCTTCAGTTGAGCTTCCAATCCAAGACAATTGTATCAAGTTATGTAGCAGTTTGCAACGAGTCCGCACTGGAGAAACGCAAACGGCAATACTCAACAAAACAGTCATGTCCATCCTTTGTTCCAAACTGGTCAGATGTGCAGCAGTATTTCCAGTACTGTTAATGTCCAAAGTTCATCCAGGGGCAACTTGGGGGGCGATTTTCAGAGTTTCTCCATAATGACTCTCACATTTTACTGCTCCGTACTGAACATTGTCCCAAGTATGTCAAGGGCCAACTTGAGTAAATGTCATATACCTCAATTTTCAAATCATGTGGTTATGGCAAACAAGAAATGTGAGTTACCTTGTTTGTAATTACAGTTTTTAAATAAAACTCTTTCAGGTTTATGCCTTATACTAACTAATCCTTTCAAACATTTCTTTTTATGAATGTAGTTTTAAATTGCATTTTTACATTGAACATCCTTTATTGTTTGGCTATTTATCATTTATATCATTTTCAGAGAATTTAATTTCATTACAAAATTTTGTCCATTTTTAACATTAAGATTGTTTTTAAATATGTCATTTTTTTAGATTATGCTCTGAAAGAATTTGTTTTAAAGCATTTTCATTTCCTTTCTTGTTTGTGCTCATTATTTCAGCCAAATGTAAAAGTTGACTCAAATTGTTTGCCTTTCAATAAATTGTGTAAATGCTAAGAACTGCTTTTACTGGCAATCCAGCTTTGAAAAACTAAGAAGAAAATGCGCAAGTGAACTCAAGTTCCCAAGAAGTGTGGAATATTTGCCCAGTCCTTGCAACATTTGGACAGGTCTGGTTAGCGGTTAATTAGGTGGTTTATGTCGTCAGTGCCAGTGGTTAATACGACTGTCCGTCAATGGATGCATGCAGATGATTGAATGACCTAACAAATGCTGCAAGGGTCCACAGTTTTACACAGAACAGTGGAAACAAAAATGACTTTGGCATACTTGAATGCTACCACATTGTAGTCAAAACTGGATTGCCATCCCAAGTGAGCTGCCTCACATCTAAAGCTAAATTTGACTTTCATTCGCTTTGACCTTCGGTTTTGTTACATTTACGGTTCTGCTGATGCTTTCTCATTTCATTAAATCAAGTGGACAACTTAGTTTTAGGAACTGAATATTCTTAAGTCTAAACAAATATTGATTCCATTTATTAAAGTGAATTGTTAAATGTATTTGAAGTTTGAATTTACTTTTATGAGCACTGACCTAATGTTAAGGTTAGGTTTTCTGTGCAACTTTTTCAAGTTATTTTAAAACTGGACTTAGTTCCAAGCATCTACGTGCTCAAGGTCTAAACATCATGAAGATTTAGTCCATTTGTTAATGTATTTGGAATCAAATCACTCATTTCATATTTCAGTTTAACTACATAACTCATAAGATTATTTCCATGCCCTAAGAAGTTGGCCCGAAAGACTTTACTGGAGCTTTGTTCTAGAGCATATTAGTTCAATGAACAGAGTTGAACCATGACAAACCGAATGGCAAGGACTTTGAAAGTTGGGCATTCCTTCAGTTGAAGATCAGCTTTGTGTGGTTCACGTAAGCATTCTTGACAGCATCCACTTCATTGGCTCTGAGTCTGACTGTCATGATAACCACCTGTAAATAACAAGAGTGCAACTGATCAGTTTTCAATGGCAGACTTGTGAGAGCTACCATTCAGTACTGAACATTCAAGAGACATGCAGGCAAATAAAATAGACATTTGAAGGAAGTGTATAATTATTTTGCAGGTTAGATTTAGCTGGCCTTCTTTCAATGAACGATATTTAGCCAGATAGATTATACAGCGCCCCTTTTGACGCGTATACAAGTAGGCATACATTAGAAAATGCATGGAATTGCCAACATTGTTTGTGCATGTGCAAGACCTGTGGCCTAGTGGATAGCATGTGAATCTTATGAGTGAGAGATCCCCAGCACAGCAGGGTTCGATTCCCAGCCCTCAACATTTTCAATTTTTGTTCATCCCAAAAAAAATTCAGAATATCCTTTTATTAATTTATATAATAAAAGAATTTGTTTTAATTACGGGAAATAAAGTCTGAAATTGTAACATGGTCAGATTCCATCTCGTGAATATGAAGTTACGATGACAATGTTAGCGCGTAACCAGACTAAGATTTATCACAGTAAAAATGTCTAAGTCCTGAAAAATGTTGCTGCTCATGTTCAGTGCCTATCTGGCAAAATATCGATCACTTTAACTTTTAAAGAAGATAGTGGATATTTTGCCGGAGGTAACGCCGGCAAATTAACGTTTATTAAAGGTTTGCCGGCGGCAATCCATATCAACTGAGGGCGCTGTACTCTATTGAGTGGGATGTCCCGAGTTCGAATCCTGATTCCTGCCACATTTTTAAGGTTTTTTTTCCCATCCCCAAATAAATAATAATATTCTTCTTTTATTATTTAATATGTCTCCAACATTTTATTGCAGAGTATTACTTTTTCTTTTTCAGATTTGTGGCTCAGGAGGATTTTTTTTAAAGGGCAATAAAGTCCGAAATTATAAAATGGTGTGATTCCCATCTTGTAAATACAAAGTTACAACGATAATATTGGCATGGAGCCAGACTAAAATTTGTCACCGGAAAATGTTGAAGTACAAAAAAAACTGTAACTGCGCATGTTCAGTGCATATCCGGCAAACTAACGTTTACTCAAGGTTTGCCGTCTCCAGCAAAATATCCACTGCCTTTAAAGAAAGCCGGCGCCAGCTAAATATACACTGCCAAATTTGAACTTGAATAAATAAGACAAGTTTGGTAATCCTTACTTTTAGGACCCCGTTCCTATATAGGAAGGGAAAGACTCACCAAAACAGTTGACTAAATGACACTAAAAATTGACATTATATTTCTTGGCACATCTGAACAATTTACAATGACACCTTCTTCAAGTTCTTGAATATCAGCAGGTTTAATTTTGTGGAAAGAGGGCAGGGCTTTGATTTATGAGGGAAATTCAGGGGTAAAAGACGACGATGACAACCAGAAAACAGACTCAACAATGCTCAAAAACCAGGATGGCAAACATGAAAGCTCGATGCGATGAAAGCTCGATGCTGATTGGCTGATAAAAAATAAACATCTTATTTATTTTTTTTAACAGCCTATCAGCATCGGGCTTTCATTATGCAGGGCTTTCACACGTGTGAGAACTAAAACATGCACGTCTGACTGCGAAAACAGGTAGGAAATTCACATTTCCTTTGAAAGTACTTTCAAAATTACAACTAACATGAGTTTATATGAAGAAAAAAAACCTGCATTAGCCTGCAAAAGTCACTTTGGTACTGAACAGTCATCTTGCAAAAGTCAGTTTTGAACAGAACTCGTAAAAAATAGAGGTGTCCTAAAAGTAAGGATACCACAAGTTTATGCATTAAAATTCCTGTTTTTATCCATGCCGAGCATGCATTGCAAATGTCAGTAAATTGTCACAAATGTTTGTTTCAACCTTTTGCCCTTCCTGCCCTACGTCCATTTTAAGTGTTGGTGCCAACCCCCCCCCCCCCCCCCCCCCCCCCCCCCCCGCAGTCCAATTTCTGAAACCACGCCCAATCCCAGATTCTCAGAAAATGGAGAAAGGAAAAAAATAACTGACGGAATTCCTTCTTTAAAAACTAAGGATTTCGGACCGTATTTTCGACTGCATCAACTTCAGAAGAATCTACAGTAGTTCAGTCACTTCTACCTAACTTTTCAAGGCCAAATGGTTCACTTTTCAGGTCAAAATTGGCAAACTTACTTTGACTGTTGTGACGTTTTCTCGAAGTCCTCCACCATACGTGCCCCGCCAATTTACGAACGCGCAACGAACCACGTGAGATTGGTTGATGAACAAATCCCTGGTCCCTGTACTATTGCAATGATTTCAAAGGCATTGGGGGACGCGAACCAGTTATTTGTGCGGCGCCTTCCTTATCACTGAAAACTATCCGGCAATTTTTTGTGGGGAAGTTTTCAGTTTCTTTTAGTTTGGGGTAAAAGTCGGGTTTTTTTTTTAATTCACAATTTTTGCATACCCATCTTTTTAAATTCTCACAATTTCTATAAAACAATATTGGAGACGTGCATCTAAGAAAAGATTGTTTGAATAGTTTGCTTTGTTTTATTTTGAACTGAGTTCCCTTATTTTTGTATTGATGGATGGCTCACCCCTACCATTAATTTGGTATAGCCGGGACAGTGCGGAATGTATATGCAAATTTTACATGTGCAATTGGTCTTTTCTTTCATCACGTGATAACTACGCAAATTTCCAGAGTGCCGCGATTTTCTAATTATTCCTCTATTTTAATAATATTCCTCTATTCGATATATATTTAATATCTAATATTCCTCTATTTAATAAATTTAGCCATAGAGGGCGGGCTTTCGATTAGTGCGGCCAAATAAACTTGTCCTCTGATAACCCCCATTAATAATGTAGACAGCTGAATTAAATTGTACAAAAACATCTTTTTTACGGGAATATGGAAGGGGGTCAAACAAAATGCGCATTTTGTTCTTTTAAAGTGGAGTTGTTTATTAGTGGGGCCCATGACAACAAAATTATCGTTCATTCACGAAAGGGGAAGAATGGGGGGGGGGGGGGGGGGGGGCAGTAATTTGTGCAAGTTCCAATTTTTGGTGTTCATTGGGTGCTAGATAAATATTTTAAAATGCTGTTTGTTTTCAAATGTAAGAGTCACTATGGTGTCGCAAAGCTGACACAATGATTCATTCAAGACAACTTCAATTTATATCAAGTTGTCTTGAAGTCATAAAAGAAGCTTTTGTCTTGCAGACCGAAGTGGGGGCCACCAGAAATGCCTTTAAGATTAATCCACCAGGGAACAAGTGAAGACGACTGTTTTTAATGCGAAATTCATCCCCGTTGCCAATTTATAATACAAAGAAAGAAAAGAAAGGAAACACTGCACCCCTCCCATAAAATGCGATCTAGCCCCGCCCCTCCACATAAGGAATTGGCAACAACTGGCCTGTCGGTGACCCCTTTCTTAATCCCCCAACAATAAATGCTTCTGGATCCATCAGTGATTTAGCTGTCTAATCATTGTTTTTTTAATTGCATGAAGTAAATTTGTGATTGGGTTGATATATTTTCTAAGGAATTTCTTTTGATATCCTCATTATGAAGCCTGCATGCCTGATTACAAAACCCAAGTGGTGACCCAGCTGTAGAATTCAGAGGCGGGAGATTGGTCCATCACTGAGGGAGGAATGGAGGCATAATACAACAATCATCTAACCTCAAAGATTTCTCCTTGATTGACTCAAGTCATTGCATGCAATGATTTATTACACGAAAATAAACTTACAAAAGTACACAATGTCAAATAATAATCCCTGACGTCTTAATCTTTGCCCAAAATATCTGGAAAAATAAAAGAAGAGATCACAAATATTTCTGCACCAATAACAAATGATACAAATGACTTACAAATTCCAACATATCTCTACTCATAGTTAACCAATAAACTTACTTCCGCCAAACGGTGCAAATTTCAGATATTTAATTTTTATTTTCAAGTTAAGACAAGATAAGTTTGCAGTAGCACCATGTGAATAAATCTCTTTTGTGAGTATGTTGGTTCTGAAAAGAACCGGAGGGACTCAACGTTTCAAACAGTATGCTCTGCCCGTCGTCAGGAGAATGAGGGATTCCAACGATGATGAGATGTTATAAGGATGGGTGCGGTGAGGCGTGAGAAGGATGCAAACTGGTGAAGCTCCAAACCGGTGAAGCTGAGAAGGATGCAAGTTGACTGATTTATTCACGTGGTGCTACCGCAAACTTATCTTGTCTTAGTATCTTTCCACCATGCAAACCTTCAAATCTTATTTTCAAGTTAAATAAACAAATTGACTGCAGCAGGATGACCGTTCCAGATTACCGTACCGGAACAGGAATCCGGAGGTCACAGGGTCAAACCAGCTCCAGTCAATTTCTTTGTTCAACTTTCAAGTTATTATAATGCACCGAGTCAGTTCTCCTTTGTGATTTATTTTTATGACTGAAACCAAACTATCCAGAAGTCAGCAGATTATCTTGACTTGGAGTCCGTGCCCGAGTGATGACCTTATCTTACAGAGTTGCACATTAATGATCACAAGATAAAAATCACAATTATGTAGTTTGTAAACCATGGCTTAAAGGCATAGGAACATTTGTATTTCATGCATTTTGTTCGTTTCCAATACATGTAATATCATCACTGTTCCACAGAAGAATACTCTAAACCTAACATGTTGAAGCTTTGGATATTACACTTTTTAAGAAAAGAGTAAAATATCCATGCACAAACTTTTCATCAATTAACGCGATTTCGTCCATAGAACTCCTATTTCCAAAAATCAGTCAATTGACTTATCATTGGAAATCACCTACATTTCTTGATTTCTTCTTAATGACAGCAAGCCAGATGGAATAATTTCACAGGGTATTTAGTACCAGTACGATCTTCAATCCAAGTGAGCTTTTTGATTTCAATTTGGTAGGTTACTTTTGGGATAAATGCAAATGATCCCGTCCCATATCCCTTGAAATGCGTAAATGAATGAGTAAAAACATCCCCGTCTTTTAAAATTGCAATCAGTTCGGCTTCGCAAATACAGTGTTTAAATCTCATTTTAATCAAAATCTTCTTTCATGTGTCATGCCAGCAACAACAGTTAGACATTACTAACATTCAGTTTACATTTCCAATGTGAATAAATCAAAACGTTGATTCAAAGTATACTTTTTCTCTCCTGCAGAACCGCTTTTACCAAATTGAATTGTTGCATTTGGGCATGTTATAAACGACTGCTATCACCTGGGCAACTACAAAATATCAAAACTGTTAGAAACAAAAATGTCAGTTTTTGTACAGAATATTGATCATTCTTGGAATAAACAAATCTAGTGTCAATCAATACTTTAAAGAGGCTTGCAATGAAAAAACAAGCAAATTGTCCACTTGTACCTATTCCAACATAATCAGAAACACAGAAACATTTTTGTGTATACAACAATTGCAATGATTGGTCCTGAATGAGCAAACATGACCGTCCTCTGACAAAAAAATGCATCATTTGGCAATGCAACATTCTACATGTATATATTATACATGAATTGTTTGACAGTATGAACACTGGTTTAGTAACTCTCAATATGGACATAGGCCTATAGTTGAATAGTAAACAAAATCCACGTTATACTGTCCTTACACAACTGCACCACTTTAAAGGTATATTACATAAACAGTCAAGGTGAAAGATATATACAAACGTTAGCAAACTGGAATCATAATTTTTGCCATTTAATGCATAATTTACATTAATTTACACAAAGGATAATGATAAAGAATGAAGCACAAACACTCAAAAGAAACGTCTGTTTAAAAGGCGTGAAGTTGCAAGAATTTTCCGAATTTGTACATAAGGCAAACGCAAAACAATTCAAAAGTACCCGAGGTTTGGGGTATTATTCTGTATACTAAGTTTTGCACAGCACTGGTCTATGGAAGGGTGTCGTGCAGCCATTTGCGTGTGGTCACATTAGTTTGTTTGAATGCCATATTACTACATTGATCGGATAACAGGGTAGGAGGAGGCCTTTGTCACAAAAGTTGAAGACATCTCACACAATTTCACCTAAGATGATGCGATTCAAGATATTTTCTCAAAAGAAATGGAAAGGAGAGGTGGATTCTCCTGTTTAATTGACAATTAGATTGTAGATTTATAATAGTACTCAGAGGTCACCCAAGATACAAGGTCAATTTAATATCACTTTCAAGTGACACCCAGAATGCTTAGTGCAGTGCTATTATGTTTGAAGATTTCAATGAATCATTTTGTACAGGAATTGTTGATTGACTTTTCACATTGATTGATTGATTAATTGATGGATTGAATTGGTTTTTTTTTTGGGGGGGGGTTCAGTAGAATGAAGAACTATGCTTGGTATATTTGTATTCATAATGTAAGAGGATTCAAAATATTTGTATTGAAACCTTTTTGTTGACTTTTCTATTCATTATCGAGCCCCTTATTGTCCTCTGAAAATAAAGTTTTTGTTGTTATTGATTGTTGTTGTTGTTGTTTTTTTTTTTTAACTTATTGGGGGGGGGGGTTTGGGGGGGGGAGGGGGATGCAGAGCATTGACTTCACATAAAATGACCCATCATACATGCTACTTGTTTCGGTTTAATGGGGCTCGTGAGCGTGGTGCATTCATAGGGAACAGGGTGAGAGTTATGACTTGATGGGAGATTATTTAGGCTCGGAATTCTCCCTCTGCTATTTCCTTCAGGTGAGGGAGGTCTTGACTGACAACTTGTCTGATGAGTTCAGCATTGAGGCCGATGTTACGAAGACTCAACCAATATAACTTAGGGAGACCTCGGAGATGATGGGTGAGAGCCCTGACTGCATCCAAACTGAATGCATTGCCATCAAGAATAAGCCGTTTTAAACCATGCCCAGCAGGAAGGATGCTGATCAGGTCCTTCACATCATCATCTACCAACCTGCATGCAATGAGGTGCAAGATTGTAAGGAATGACAGGATGTGGCTGACATGTCGCACCCGTGCATGCAGGTTGGTGCCATACAGAGTGAGCGAAAGCAACCTGCATCCTTCCAGTGCCTTCAATAGATCAACAACCTCATCCGGTGATCGTTGGAACATAACCAAACCAAGATCGCCTATTTGTTCCTGCATGTGGAAAAACCTGTGTGATACACGCCCCACGTCAAACCATGACTTTGCCTCAATGCAAACCACAACCTGTAATTCAGCAGGGTGCTGTTCATCCACCACACCAAGTGTTTCCTCAAGAAGGATAAGCTCCTCCTCCTGCTCAGACAAGTAGTAGCGAACCGCTATCAGCCCAGCTGACTTCATGCTGTCACTCAGAAGAATTACCCTGAGAATGGTAAGCTCCTGCTTTCTTACACGCATGTGAAAACCTGCACCTTGAAGTGGTGGAGTGACATGCTGTAAGTAGTAGCTCAGTGATTTCAGGTCTTCGTTACTCTTGCAGGCTACCCTAGTTGGTCTGACAAGTTTGGTAGCCAACTCTTCTGAACCAGCCTCGAACATGAGCAACCGGGCCAATCCCTGCAGTTCCTCCTCATCACCTTGCATCTCTTGTATGTGATCCAGAATGAAACCAGCAGCCTGCATTGATCTACCACAACAAAATCTCAGCAGGTATTCCATCGCAAGAACATTGCCTTCTCCAATCTGCTTCAACTGATGACGGAAATTGTTTTCGTCATCTTGTAGCAATTTCACCAGGTGACATGCTGCAAAGTATTCTTGGATGGACTTGTGGGGGAAAGTGACCAACGCTTTTACATCCAGACCACTCGTGAATGTTTCACGTTGAACGAAACCAACACGACAACCCTCAGCTAAGGAAGACTGACAATTCTGAAATTCAGTTTCATTGAACATAAGTCTTTCCCCTCTAGAGTCTAGTAACCCTTGCAATGCAACACGCCCCAAGTCATCAATGATGGACATCATGATGGACATCATGTGCTGATCACCCATTTCTTCGTTGCGGCGAATGAAAAGAACCTCCGTAAACTTTGCAAACAGCTCAGTAATTCTCTCAGGCAATGACTTTTGATTCTTCCAAACAAGGCATATCATCTGGGAAATGATCGGAACTTTTGACATTTCCCAGAGATGTTGATTGGTTTTCAGATTTGAAACCAATGCCTCTCCCCTGTCAGCATCATCAGGAAGGTTTAATCTGATGTACTGATCCCTGTTTTGTGGATTGAAGCCAGTTGTCTCCACTTGGGCATACCTTGGGTGACCCCTAAGTATGTACTGTTTCATGTGTGGTCGGGTGGTGACCAGCACAAAACTTTTAGTAAGGACTCTGTTGTGTAAGATATCCTGAACCCTGTATACGCCCTCCTCAGATTGCAAAACATGAGATGGAATTTCATCTACTCCGTCCAACAGCAAAGCAATGCCTGATTCATGATCATCAATGAACCCTTTCACTATGCGTTTTGTCAGTTTGGTGTTTCGTGCTAGAATTTGGTCAAATATGGCATCCAAGACGCAACTGGTATGCTGCATTTGCCTCAGCTTTATCCAAAGCACAAGATCGAATCTACCAAGAAGGGGTTTTGATCTAAGTGTGATGGAGGAGTTTGCAACTTTCACTAACAGGGTTGATTTACCCATCCCGGCCCCACCAATAAGAAGAATCTTGATTTCCTTAACTATTTCCTGATTGAACAAATCATCCAAGGAATTGAGAATGTCATATAGTGCTTCATCCAAGAACAATTTTCCTTCTGGTAATGTCACCGACCTCTCTGATTTTGTTTTCCCTGGAATGTTCTTTTTCAGGTGCAGAGGAATAAAGAATTCCTCAATACCCACTTGACGTGACTGCAGTGTAGGGTGTGCAGGAATAGTCGTTGCAGTTTGCTTGTAGTTGTCGATAATTTCCTGTTGTAAATCCTCAAAGGTAACCGGCCCCTGGAGTCCGGTGATTTCTAAAACAAATCATACAATTATAATGAGTAATTAATTTGAGGACAGATGAACATGATTCATCAGCTACAATTCAACAAAGCCAACAATCTGCTCGTTCATTTTCCAAGTCCTCGCACCACCTATTGTTTTTTCTGTATTCAGGTTATTTTTACCTTAATATCCACATATTAAGTATTCAATTAGTTTTAGTTTCCCATTCAGTGCAGTAAAATGTACACTTGCAAATTTTGGCAAGTACTGAAATTCACATATCCAGATATTTTTTTTAATCAGGCGCCCAAAGATAACAATATTGATAACCAAATAGTTATCTGAGGTTGATGTTATAGCCAGTCCCTTGCAGTCTTCAATATACTCAACTTTAATGAAGTCAAAGAGACAATTTTGACCACACCATAAACTGCATCAATAAGGACAACTGTAGTTGGCAGTAAATTCCTACAAAAAGGGCGAAACTTTTGGACAATACTGTGCGCTGTTTTTATTCCGTTATTGTCTGGAGAAATTTCTCTGTCCAACACCCAATGAAACAAACACTTGTTCATTTGTGGACGTATTGGTGGCTGCATGAGGACATGAGACCTGACCTTTCTCCCCCCCCCCCCCCCATATAAAAAAGACTGCAAGTGAGAATTGCGCAATCCCCTTGGCATGCTGGCAGTTTTTATAATGTCAGTGTCCCTAACCAAAATGGAAGATTTCTATTGTTTTAGCAAAAGTGACCTTGACCTTTGACCTGTTGGCCTCAAAATCAATACGCTTGATAGGACTACCAAGAGCAACCCACAAACCAAATTTCAAGTTCCTAAGTAAAGTATTTCTCAAGTTATCGCGTTGACAAGGTTTCTATTGTTTTAGCAAAAGTGACCTTGACCTTTGACCCGTCTGTCCCAAAAGCAATAGACTTCTTAAGACTACCAAGAACAACCCACAAACCAAATTTCAAATTCCTAAGTAAAGTGTTTCTCAAGTTAACATGTTGACAGGATTTCTTGTTTTAACAATATAGTGACCTTGACCTGTAAAGTAAAGTATTTCTATGGTGTAAATCGAGGATTTTCTTTTGTTCCTCTTCCCTTTTCCTTTGTTTGTACACTTACTTTTTCGCAACAGGTTTTGTACACGTTTTCCAACCGAGGAGTCCTTGATTTGGTTTCTGTCCTCGATTCATCGATGATGTTGAACTTGTGTGCCCCCAATTTACACCATAAACAAACGCGCACACACAAACGCGTTCACACCATCAATCGTGGACGTCCTATTGTCCCTCTTTTGTTTGTACTTTAACTTAGGAAGACTCCCATATGTTTTGTACCCGACCCATAACGCAGACGTATGCTGGGAATCGTGGGTGATATTGTTCTCTGGTATTTTTCGTCCACAGTTTGAATGCTGAACACACCCAGACATTTATATACTAAAGGAGTTGTGAGCCTTAAACAAGCAGCTATTCATGTTATACCCCACCCCTAGCTATTTTAACGGCTAGAAAAAAGGGTATAATCCATTGTTCAATCATACCTACCAAGGCTACAAATGTCATGAAAATAACAATTGATGTGGTTCATTCTGATACCTACCTATCATGCGTAGAACGGGCTCAGTGATACCTGCAAACAGACACAAATCAATTGATACGGTAAACAACGTTTCTGTACAAAATCTTCATGAGGTTTATTGCTTAGTTCAACAGCTGTTTATGGTAAACAAAGCTTACGCTTTAATATGTTCAGCACAGCAACTTTGGACACTTATGCAATTGTCCTATTCAATCCCAAGAGCTCTCCTCTTCTCTGCCTGGCCAGTCAAATGAATAAACGTGTACGGGAACGCAAGGGGAGTTCTCGGAATTGAACGGGAAAATTCACTTTCATCCAGATAGTAAGTAAAATTCGCCATGGGGTGACAGGGGCTGGTCTGCATGCAGTGTGGTCCCCCTTGTTTCAGGGACTCATGCTATGCTATATATTGTGCCTAATAGCGTCAATGCAAAGGATGGAGGGGAAGGATGCTGTCAGGGAACCGATATCAGGGCCAGGGGAGTCATAACATGCAGGGTTGACAGACAAATGTTTGTGTCTCACCCGGTCTTGGCTGTAGTTGCGGTGGTGGTTGTGGCGTTGGTTCCTGCTGGGAAGGCTGTCTGCTGCTGGACTGAGTCGTTTGTTGATCATCCCTCACTCCATCAGCCGGTAGTTGTTGGGTTGCAGCTGTGCTTGGACCAGGGTAAGTTTGTGTCTCACCCGGTCTTGGCTGTAGTTGCGGCGGTGGTTGTTGTGTTGGTTCCTGCTGGGAAGGCTGTCTGCTGCCAGACTGATTCGTTTGTTGATCATCCCTCACTCCATCAGCCGGTAGTTGTTGGGTTGCAGCTGCCTGACTGTCTTGTGAGGTGCTTGGACCAGGGTTAGTTTGTGTCTCACCCGGTCTTATCTGTAGTTGCGGTGGTGGTTGTGGCATTGGTTCCTGCTGGGAAGGCTGTCTGCTGCCAGACTGAGTCGTTTGTTGATCATCCCTCACTCCATCAGCCGGTAGTTGTTGGGTCAGAGCTGTGCTTGGACCAGGGTTAGTTCGTGTCTCACCCGGTCTTGGCTGTAGTTGCGGCAGTGGTTGTGGTGTTGGTTCCTGCTGGGAAGGTTGTTTGTTACCAGCCGGTAGTTGTTGGGTTGCAGCTGCCTGACTGGCTGGTGCTGTGCTTGGACCAGGGTTAGTTTGTGTCTCATTTCGTCTTCGGGCTCTCTTAGCCGGTGATTCTGCCATTTAGCGCTGGTGATGTGGGCACAGTTTAGTTACAGACAGCTTCGGTAGTCCAACTTGGTAATCCTGTGAGTGTAAAGTACTGTAAGTACAATCATGTAAAATCACAAAATGGATGCTTTCGGGCTGTCAATCAGTCCATCGCTCAGTTGGTTGACCAATCAGGCATGCAACTGGGAATTTAGGAAAAAAAACGAGGGATTTCCGTACCACACAAGACTTTGTACAGTGTTTTGCAATTTGTGATGGCATTCATGAGTTCTAGCAAAAAAAACAAGGAAATCAGCGGATCCGAGGAAAAGTTGCATGCCTGCTATATATTTCAGTCAGTCAGTTGGTCGGTCTGTTGGTTGGTCAGTCAATCTGTCGTTCAGTCGATCAGTTCGTTGCTCTGTGGTTGGTCAGTAGGGCGGGGTTGATTGGTTGGTCAGCTAGTCCATCGGAGGGCGTGGAGTATTGAGGGGAAAGAAGGGAAGTGGGTTATAGCCGCGGATAATTAATGATCAACATGCAGATTCACATGGCCAGCAGTTTTGTTAACACCCCACCCAAAATCTTGCAACGTGACCAGCAAAACTTTTTCACCTTGACAATAAAAGTGTTAAGTATTTTTTTATTGGAGCATCTTAAAGCTTAAAACTTGAAATTGGAAACCCAGATTATTTAAAAAATCACATCATTCAGTCACAAAGATTTTAAAAAGCTGTACATTCCTGATCAGCAGAAAAAAAAATATTGCAGTCATTAATAGACCTATTGACGTCATGCTTTGTTTACATGTGTGCTTTCCTATGGGAGCCAGGTGGGCAAGAGAGCCACCAAGCTCCCACAGGAAAGCACACATGTAAACAAAGCATGACGTCATGATGTCTAATACATGTAGGTCAATTAATTCACTTACCTTTAACCCATGAAAGGCATTACTCTGTAGCCGACTGTGGCAGTGAAGGAGTCAACACGTCCATTACTGTTTGGATATAAAGATATAACAGTTCACTTTGTGTAGGAAGGAACTTAAACCCTATTTTTACAACCTGCATTGTGCTAAAAACCTCTAAAACAGCAGTGTTGAGGGAGGGGCATCCCTGCCCATGTTTTCCCCCTCCTAGTTAACCCCCATGCTCCGTATCAGAGTCTGAATGTCCATACTCACTATTTGCTGATGGTACATTTAACACAAGAAACTGTCTGGAAGGGAATTAACCATGGCAACACATCAAACTTTGGACAACCAAATGCACAACCGCCTCCCTACCCTCAAGTGTTCTAGGATGTAGCCCCCTCCTCCCCCCTCCCCTCCCTCCCCCATATACCCCACTGGTGTCTACAAAAGGAAATACAAGTAAGGTCACAAGAAAATGGTGAACAGACTTGATGCAGGAAACTACTTCTTAGCATCCTTGGCAGAGTCTGAACTCACTTTCATATTAGTAAAGTAATTAAGGCCAACAATAGTAATTGCTGGCTTGATCAATTATTATGACATGTACGCATGTAGCGGTATATGCTTATAATTATAGTACACAGAGTGCCCCATTTTTTTTTCATTCCAACAGGGCCCAGAACATCCCTGTTGATAAGATTGATTGCCGCAAAGAGAAACCTTTCTTAAAGTATCCCACGTCTGTTCATGCCAATTAACTTGCTAAGCCTTGGCTCCACTATATGTTAGCATGTCATCTCCATATAAAATTGCATGGCAGACTCAATCAATCAAATTAATCAAATCTTTAATTTTTCCCAACACACACATGAACATATAATATTCCTTAACATTTGAGTTATCGTGTATGGATGGATGGAGGTCTCCAAAAAGCATCAGCTTGTCGAGTGGAGACCCCCACTGTAATAAAGAACAATTACAATCACAATTACGATGACAGTTACAATTAATTACAAGTACAAGTACAACGACAGGAGTTAAATAACAAAAAATATTGGTACAGAGCTAGTACATGTAATACGAAATAAAACTAAATTGATTTGGTCTTACAAAATGAGATTATTCTACCACATATTTGTTAATTAATTGGGTTTTATATTTGCGTTTGAACAATGATACATGTGACACCTTTTTTAGAGATGGATTGAGAGAATTCCACAGCACAATGTCTCCATTGTGTTCACAAAAAAATGTGTAAGTGGGGGCAAGGGAAAAAGGCCATCCATCCCTTGCCAACAGTCACAAATGGCATTGCTTACATTCATATCATCAACGCAGGGCCAGCTGTGGTTCAATTATGATCAAAACAAAGAAAATGTGCACTCCGTTTAAAACTTGCCTTCCCAGCCGGTTTCAAACGTCACAGGAATGGGTGGAAGTTATGCTATTCACCGAGATGATAAAAGGGATTTTCAATGAGTTGTCAATACAGTTCACACATGCACATGTATAACTGTGGCTTGCCTAATAAATCATGCTTTTATCTCTTCCACAAACTAAATCTCAGGCATGCAACTGTAAATTCACCACACAAAAAAGGAAATTCCAAAATTTGTTTTTGAATTTTGAGAGGCATAATGACATGAGAATAAAAAAAGAGAGGAAATCAGCTGCTAAGAAAAAAAGTTGCATGCCTGAAATCTATTGCAATACTGAAAATGTACAGTTCAGAATCGACAAGAATTGATCCACTGTTTGTACTACCAAATGATAGAACCTCTTCCGCCCAGCCCCTATCTATAGTGAAACTGACATCATGCTCGGAGAGATATTAAAGTAGAACTGGGCAATTGTCAGACCCCCTGTGGGTTGGTATATACCACGAATATTGAAACTGCTTCACTGCCTATTGAGCAACGGGGCAACATGCAACACAAACTACAATTTGAAAGTTGTCAAACATCCCGTTTTGCGTAAAACCTTTTTTTTTTTATCAAACAAGTCCTAATTACAGAATAGAGTAACATCTTTTGAAGTATACTGCTTGCATTTCAGCAGGGTAGCCTTTTTTTAGTAATTTGAACTGTTCTTAAGGGTCCTGACAAGCATGTTAGCCCACCAGTATCTGTGAAGACAAAACTTGTTTACATGTATTGTGTCAAAGAGAAATTACCACTCCTCCAAAAAAAGTACCTTGGCCTGTACATATGTTACTCAACTCAATTCAGCAAAAACACCCTCTCTACCTGTATATTAGCGATAGAGCATGTACATGTACAATCAGTTTATGAGAAATAAATTGAATACCCAGACTATATTGTTGATAGTACAATGGTATATTCACCAATAGTTTACCTACAGCGAGCCAGACAGCTAGAATCTATTCAAGTTCAGTCATCCTCCTTCCAACGTCACTACCCCATTTATTGGGTTTGTATTCTCAGGTCATCCACCATTGACTCTCACAGACCTTGATGCAAATTCTGCCAACAATACCCAATGAAAAAGCTGCCACAAACAATCCCATATTTGGTGCTGCCCCGCTGCTTATGCCTTACGGATAATAAATACCACACCCTGCAGGTAAAGATACAATGGCGATATGGAACTACATGTACATGTATTGCAGGTGCCTTTCACTTCGTTTGGAAAACTCACCTCAGTGAAAAATACTGTATTAGGCAAACCATGGACCACATGGGTCCGTGGGCAAACTCAACATGTTTTTCTTTGGTAAATTGGCTCACAGCATTAGCAGTAAATACATGTACTTTTTTCATTACAACTTACAAGTAGAAAATCCATTAATTAGGATAAAATATTCCCACATCACAGTATACTCACCAATTGTTCTAATTTAAAGGGAAAATACAACATTTGCAAACATCAAAAAATAAAACTACCAAATCATTTTGAAATACCTTGCTTGACTGTTAGTGAATGACAGTGTAAAGCATCCTGTAAAATCATGGCACCTAGTATACTGTCATTTTCAAGAAAAGTGTTATTTTTGTATCAATTTCCAACGCTGATCGGCCGATCAGCGTTGGAAAAAACTGGCTTTTTTTCCAAATACTGGCCCCAATTGACCATCGCACTTGTTTGCAATCGATCACAAACCTATGAACGGGTACGAGCCAACTAGACTTGTTCCCTGACCTTACAATTCCGCAATGTATGTAAACTGCTCTGTTTCTTCTTACATGGAGTCAGGGAACCAGACTACAGGAAAATGATTGTTTTTCCTGGTTTTTATAGCATTTTCGAACCCAAAACCTCAAAAAAGTAAGTGTAACTATATTTGCTATATATATATTTCCAACCCCCCAATTCCATCCATTTCTGAAAATTACAGCAAAAGCAAATGATGTATATTCCCTTTAACTTCACTTTTTAACATAATTGTAGACAAGCTCAGTAGGCATCTCAAATAAACTTAAAGTAAATTGATATAGAACCATCATCACACGATATTCACAGCAGATTATCAAGAAACTATGCAGCAGGACGTCATAATTACACAAACTGTTCTCTGTATGCTGTCCCTTAAACACTGCTCATAGTACATGTATGTGACATGGTCTGAATAAGATTTCATTCATGTAGACTTGGATTTAAATAGCATAGAATCAACCATTTACTTGAATACAATGTAGCTGGATTTCTGGAAAAAGACCAGACTCAAATTGGACTCAATCTGCTTGGCCTCAACTCAGGTGGCCTGAACATGTTACTCAACAACAGCCAAAAAAAACATGCACCTGTATTTAATAGCCATAGAGCGCGTAAAATCAGTTTATGAGAAATAAATTGTACCCAGACTTCATTGTTGATTGTACAATGGTCACCAATAGTTTACCTACAGCGAGCCAGAGAGCTTAGAATCTATTCAAGTTCAGCATTCCTCGTTGCAACGTCACTACCCCATTTATTGGGTTTGTATTCTCAGGTCATCCACCATGGACTCTCACAGACCTTGATGAAAATTCTGTCAACAATACCGAATCAAAAAGCTGCCACCAACAATCCCATATTTGGTGCTGCCCCGCTACTTACATGTATGCCTTACGAATAATATACACGTACATGTGCCACACCCTGCAGGTAAAACTTGTACACACTCACCCAAAAAAGAAAGTCCCCCCCCTCAAGTTTGTTTGTCTTTAACTCAAGAACTACTAGGCACCTCTCGCTCAAATAACGACTAATCAGTACAGAAAGTCCTTAGCAATCCAGCCATACTCTTAAATTGGCCCTAAAACAGTGATAATGTGTACAAAATTATACAACTTATGACAAATGATACCGAAACAAATTTGCACTTTTGTACACCTGCAAGTTGAGTGTGAACATTTTGTTTCTAACGCTCTTTCATCTCTTCCAACAAAAAATTCTTAAAATTGATTTCTTAAAATTTTTGTCACCATTTTCTTTACTGCATACTTTGCATGTTCTTCCAGGTTCAGTAAAGGAAAGGGTAAAAACATAACCAACAAAACTTGAAATTATTTTTATGAAATTTTTGTTGGAAGATTGCGTTGGAGATGAAATGTTCACACTCAACTTGCTCGTACACTTTGTGTACGTACATTATCGCTATTTTGTGCCAAATAAAGAGTATGGCTGGATTGCTAAGGAATTTCTGTACTCGTCATTATTTGAGCAAAAGATGCGCAGTAGATTTAGAGTGAGACAAAAAGTATTGGGGGATTTCTTTTCTGGTTGAGTGTATGTGTGTGATGGCGATATGGAACTATTGCCTGTGCTTTTCATTTCGTTTGGAGCACTCACCTGTTGTGAAAAATACTGTATTAGGCAAACCATGGACCACAATGGTCCGTGGGCAAACTCTAACATGTTTTTCTTTGGTAATGAGTGATTGGCTCGCAGCATTAGCAGCCTACATTGCACATGTACATGTACATCTCACGAATTAATTTGCAAACGGTTAAAGATATAGTCCATCATTTATAATTTGCGCATTCTGTTCATTTGAAGCAACAAAAGTGCTCAAAATCTAAAGAAGGGTGCTGAACAACTGACCTGATGAAGTTTCAGCTCAGCTTCTGCTGTATATTTCAAGA